CATGTACAAGAAATTTCATGCTCATTTGTGGCATAATCTTATTTTTCTATCTTTATTTTTATTTGCTTTGATATTCTTATTTTTAAAATCTTATTGCATTATAATGTAGTAATGTTTAAATAAATACTAAACAGTATGTGATACATAGTAAATTATCTGAAGACTAAAATACGTATGCTATTGAAGCAAAAGGTGCTCTTTAGGTTTGTTTTAATTAGTTACTCAGGTTAAGAGGCAGTGTGCAAATTGGTTAATATAGTGCACTTTGGTGTCGGACTTATAATTCAATCTCAGCTCTTGTTGATTCTAGCTTCCTCAATGTTCTGGGCCTGAGTTCCCTCTCCATAAAACTGGGGTAATACTACTCATCTCATAGAGTTCTTGTGAGAATTAAATAAAATAATGATTGCATAAAACATAGACCAGTTCCTGGCATATTATAAACACTAATACATTGAACATATTATCATTATTTTTATTAGTATTTTTATTGTTATTATTATTATTGGATACTCATCTTGCTTACACTAAAAAGAACTGTTTGACCTTTTACTTTATTTTATTTGTATGCTAGCAGAAAGTCTTATTCCCTAAAAATGTGTGTCATGGGATATAAATGGTTATCACAAGAGACAGACATAGACAGACATACTTTCCTGACTTGTAATAAACAGATTCTCATACGATGATGTATATGTACTATGCTTAAGATATTGAACCTTGTTCTGGAATGGGATAATCTAAAAAAAAAACAAATCTAACACTCAAAAAGTTCACTTATTCACAAATATCCCTGGCAATTAATTTTAAGAAATATTTTTGGCATATTTTCTCCTCAACATTTAAAGGTACATGTGAAATGCCAGAGGGAGTGTTAATATACCATGTTATATAAACTCTATAGAACTCTAAATGAGAAGCAACAACCCACAATAAACAAACATTAAATTAGTAAATGCTGATGGAAGCTGCAGTTCTTCCTGAAAAAAATCCTGTTTATGAATGCCCTTACCCTCATCCACACGTCAGAAGGAAAAAAGTGCCTTTTTCCATTATCCTTTTCATCACTAGTTTCCCAGACTTTCATTTTTTCTGTACTCTTTAGATGAGTCTATTAATTATAGCACATCTTAAGTTATATGTGTGCTTTTTCTGGTGATTTTAAAATCTATCTAACTGTGGGGTTGATGTCTAGACTAAAAATATATAAGCATGAGAAGAGAACTTGGGTAAAAATAACTCAAGAGATGAAGAGAAGTGTTATTATTGTGTACGGCTGCAGACACTGATCAGATGAAAAATCTTAATAATGACTTCTAGCACTAATCATAAAACTGTCCAAGGCCATATATTGCAGCAAGGAGAGTTTTAGCATAAAATTTCATTATGCTAAAAACAAAGATGTTGGAATATTCTTGGCTTTCTTTGAATGTAAGTTCATTTAAAAGTGCTACTGCTTTTCCCAGTTGAATTATTGGCTATAATTAGTCAGCAAAGTAGTTAAGACCCTCAGGAGAAATTTACTGTCAGATAAGATTTCATAATAATCAAGATCTCAGATACAGATACATAACCAGACTTTAAAAGAGAAGATGCTACAAACATTCAGAATACACACCACACACACACACACACACACACACACAATAAAATGGAGGGTAGTCCAAGAAGAATGAGAACCTCTGAAAATGAAATTCTGACATGTCAAAATTATCCCAAAGAAAACCATAAAGGTGTAAAAAAGAAACAACTACTGAGTGCTTATGACATTAAATATTCTCATTTTCAAAAAGCATGCATCCAAAAACTCCACACTGGTAAGCCTGATGTCAATTTCAAAGAGTATCTAAAAATTTGTGGAGCAGCAATGATTGCATGAGCCAGTTGGAATTTTAGTTCACTGAAATGAAGATCATTTTTTAAAAATATAAGATGACTATTGGACTCATAAATCAGGAAAATACCTTAGACATCATAATACACATCTTGATGTTAGTACTAAGCTTCTTATTAAATCTTTAAATCCTTACTGATAAGGGAGAGAAATATGAACTGATTAATGGGTGCATTTTAAGGACTGACTCCATAAAAACATTATCAGAAAAAATACCCTGTAGCCTACTAAAGTGGCTTTGTCCATTGTACTTGCCCCATTCGATGATTGATGGAAATATAAAAGACAATGGATTTACAAATGACACAAAGCTGGGAGGGATGATTAAGAGAGTGTATGAAAGATTAAAAATTCAAAACTATCTCCATAGATTAATGATGAGTTTAGATAAAAAAGAATCAGCTACACAATTGTAGGATGGGAAGGACCACTCATGATTCACGTGGAAATTTCAATGTGAGACAATGGTAGAACATGACTTTCAAAATGCTAATGTATGTATCAATGTAAGTATTGCATATTAAGGAAAGTAGATCATCACTCTATGGCTATTCAGACCATATCTGGAATATTACCTTAAAGAAAACGTAAAGAGAGAATGATCGGAGATATTAAGTAACTAGAATTATCAATAGAAGGGTTACAAATTTGGTGAAGATCTTGGAAACTATTATCACAAATCATGAGTAACTGAAATTTTGAAACTGATTCACAGTTTCCCATTGACTTTAACATTTTTATATCTTAAGTCCCAGTTTTGGTTTAACTCAAAAAGGTTGCCTTTTGCCCTATTTTGGTTACATTATATCTATTTGATAACATACATCTATCTTATTTAGTATCTACATCTCTCATTAGGGTTTTCAATAATATATGGTTTTCCTGTTAGTCAATGTTTTAATGTTTTTATTTTTGTTCCCCAAGGGACCCAATCTCTGACGCATGGGATAACACAGTAGAACCAACTGTTGATTTCTTTAAAAAAATCCAACTGTTTTATGAAAGCTAGACAATCATCTTGTTAGTCTTGTAAAGAGCTACAGTAAGCTTTTTTCAAAAAATTGATTTTAGAAAGACAAGAGGAAGGGGGAGAGAAACATCAGTTTGTCGTTTCACTTATTTATACATTCATTGGTTGATTCTCATCTGCACCTTGACTAGGGATTGAACTTGCAACCTTGGTGTAGCAGGATGATATTTTAACCAACTGCACTACCCAGCCAGTGCCTATAGTGGGCTTTCTTGAAGTTGGGTTTATAACTCAGTGATACAAGTAAGCCTTGTAGCTTAATATATTTCTAATTACTAATTCTTACTATCAGTAAGGGGATTGAGTCAGGACAAATTTGTGTTAGTGTGGTGAGAAAAACTTGGTTAAATGTGTCATTATGTTCTGTGTTTATAAATTAGTGGCTGTGGCCTGACTCACTAACAGAAAGACTTCTGTAACACCATATCCCTTCAGAGTAAACTGAGGAGTTTGTGTTGTCACTCCAACATTCCCCAAGGGTAATATTATACACAAATAGGGGTTCAGTTAATGCTCGCCAAATTAGAAAAGGTTGTTCCTATAAAATTTCTTGAAAAAAATCACCTGGATGTATAGTAACTCTTTTTTAATTTACCAATGACAGAATACCTATCTAATAAAATATCTTACCAAATTCAATAGTCTATAGAAAATACAATCTACCATGGGCTAGAAAGAGAAGTTTTATCTTGTGCCATAGACAGGAATTTTGGACCGAAAGTCCATTCAGTAATAGTTAATTTGAACACTCCTAATAAACTCTGCAACTATATCATATCTTCTTTACATTCCCCTTTCCAATATCTACTAGATCTTGAGAAGTGAATGGAAAACAATGCAGGTACTGCTCTGGTTAGAACTGAGATACTCAGGCTTAAAAGGGAAGGATGTGTCCACTTGTTGAAGGTGTTACGCACACCAGGCAATTATTAGTAAAAACAATCGACCATTAGATACGAAAGGGGCCATAAAGATTATTTAGTTTGTTTTACAGATCAGAAAACAAGAGATAATTAATTCATGATCCCAAAACCAATGAGTTGCAGCACCCCCTTTTTTCTAGCCCAGAGCTCTTTTAATGTAGTTTTGACTTGAATCAGGAAAAGGAGAAAGGTAAATGACAGAAAAGTCCTAGGAGGAATGAAAGGTTCTCCACTACTTACCTTCTTTTCTCCCTATAGATTTAAACAATTCCTACGTCCCTACATATGAGAGTAAATGGAATGTTTATTTTGTGATTATCTTTTTTTAAATCACTTATGTAAACATTTTAAATCAATCACATATTTTTGGTTCTCTATCAACTTTTCCTTCCATCTAACTATTAGATGCATAAGAGATCTTAGAAACTATCTTGTCTCTTTTTGTTTGTTTGTTTCAGTGATCAAAAAATTGAGGCTCCACCCTGGCTGGGTAGCCCAGTTGGTTAGAGCGTCCTTCAGATATGACAAGGTTTCAGGTTCAATCCCTGGTCAGGGCACACACAAGAATCAACCAATGAATACATCAATAAGCTGAACATCAAATCGATGTTTCTGTCTCTCTAAAAAGAAAAAAATCAATAAATAAAAAAATTAAAAAATGAGGCTCAGCAACAAACTAATTTATATTTGACAATAACAGGGAAAAATGAGTACTAGTCCTTTAGGAAAAAATCAGTCGGAAAGAAAACAATGAACTCCTGAAACCAAATATCAAGAATCTTAACACAGGATAAATTGTGATTTTTTTTTTCTTTTCAACGAGAAATTTCACGTTACATAGCACATAAATTTCAAATGTTATATACCACATCTTGTGCGAACAAATCAGATTACAAAACAAATTACATACTATATTACAGGAGACTAACATAAAATGGCCTTTTAATAACACTGGGTCGGCCCTTTCTGAATTCTGAGATACTAAGTACCTAGATTTTGCAAACTTGTCTTTAAGAAGTTACCATCCAAGCCTACTTCATCGAGACAAATCTATTTTTTTATTTTTTTTAGAGTCATATAATACTTCGTTAATCCTGAAATAGAGTCATTCCCCATTCTTGTTTCAAGCAGTACTCTTGTGTTACCTACATACCTAGGAGGCTGGGGAGGCTCCTTCCAGTCACTGGGTATGAGGTTATAAATGCTCTCAGAAGAGCATGTTGGATCCATGGCCACCAAATGACTCCTCAAAACTATTCAACTTTTTTCTCAAAATACCAGTATCTCCGTCCCTTTCTTCACTGCTTCGCCTTTCCTCCTCTCTTGCCTTCTCAAGAAACTAAGGTTTCTCTTTTTCTCGTAATTCCCCTTTGACCTCTCCGTATAAGACCTCTATTGGGAAGATACCCTCTTCCTCTGGCGGTTGTTTAGCTTTGTTGACCTTGAGCTTGCCTTGGAAACAGTTGCTAGGCAACGGGGAAGCGGGAGGAAAACTGCAAACTTCGTTTCCTCTTTTCCGTCTCCGCTGCTCAGTCTTCCGACTGGAAAGCTCAACATTGAGAGCAGTGTTTATATATGCATTTGAGAGTAATGAAGTGAAAATGGCATCTCCTAAAAGATACTGATCTTTTCTGTGTTTATATTTGGAGAGGAAGAACGCAGATGCACGAGAAACGAAGCGGCCGTGTAACGTCACAATCAGGCTCTGGTGCGCAGGTCCCAATAACGGCGAGGGAGGAGCAAGCACGCCGAGGGACTCCCGACGACCCGAGCGGGACTAGGAAGGGGAGGGACCCGGGAGCAGGGAGGGCTCGTGCTTTGAGCGACAGATGAGAGTCACGTGCCTGTCCGGGTTGCTGTGGGCGTGGGTGTGGCGTGCGGACGCGCAGGTTCGCACCGGCGCAGTCGCCGGGGTTGCAGAGCAGGTTTGGAGCGGCCTTAACGGGGGCTCGGGCCTGGACGGCGGTGGTTCACGGGGAGGGGCGCAAGTGAGGGGTTCGATACCGAGGCGACCCTGGCAGCTCCCGGGTACTCCATCCCATGTCCTTACCTTTTCCCCATCTTCTCAGTGTGATTTTTCTTGGTGAGTTATTTGAGGAGAAATAAAGAGACTATAGACACTACTCCATTCCCATCGCATGCCTTTACCTCCTGCGTCCTTCCCCTTCCCGCTCCCTTGGTTGTCATCTTCAGCTCGTTTGTCCGCTGCTTTTGCCCTAGGCTGCCTGAGCTCCTTGTGCGCCCACGTCCTGCCATCCACCTGTCGCTTCCCGGCTTCACCCCTTGCCCCTGGACCTAAACAGTTCCCTGCTTTGTGTCCCGTTTCCCTCTTGATCCGGCCCCTCCTCTTAGGTCTTTCTCCACATGTGTGTGGACTTTGTTTTCGTAAACAAGTACCCTAAACCAGAGGAAGGTTTTTAAATGGGCCCTTTAGTTTTTGCCCACTTTTGTGTTTATGTGTCACTTTTTGAAAATTTGTCTTTGGGAGAGGCAGTTTTATGCCGTTCTCAACCCATTTGGTCTTACATAAACATTTATACACGTATGACTGCTGAGAGGAACTCTTTTAAGAGCTTTCAACATCTGAGTCTTAAAAAGATATTTTGGCGATGTGATTTAGGAAGGAGGATAAATGGTCTGAACTCACCTTACAAGTGTCAGTCCAAAGACAGTAAAGATGCTCGAAGGTGGGAGAGAACACCAGTGGTCATCTCACTGCCAGGCTGCTCAGTGAGGGGATTAACACTGGATGGTGGCTTGATACACTTTGTAGTTCCTACTTACAGGGCTTTGCTGATTGTGTGGGTTCTTACCATTTGGGCATCATAGTGAATTTCATTAGATAACTATAAATGTAGTATTTGATGAACCAGTTGATGTTCATTTTTATCTCAGGCATTTAACAAATATTTTATTTCAGGTTGGTGACACCTTGGGAATGATTCCCCTGGTCTTCACATCAGATTTTCTTTTTTCAAAACATGTATATATGCTACTTTCGCCTTTTTGATTTCCCTTTGAGTATTTTTTTGTTTGGGTTTTTTTGCTTAGCGGATGTAGAGAGAAATTCTTTTCTCTCTACATACTAAGATCTGAACTAAGGACTCAGAATGGTAATACCATTAGCCAAATGGATAGTCATTGGCAAAAGCTTATAAATTTTCTAATTAGAAGGAATGCTTTAAGACTGTTTATGTTAATCAGTTCATTTAGGAGCCAGTAAGGGCAAAGAAAAACATTTCTTCAATTCATAAGCACCAGCTGGCCGTAGCTAGTCTCAACTTCCTGGTGTTTCTGAATACAGTATTTTCACTGATGTCAGTATATTTATTGTGGTTTTAAAATTACTAAACAATTTGATTTCACTATAAGATACTTAGTTTAGAGTTATGATGGAAGTTGTTAAATCATTTGGAAAGGAACTTTTTTTCTTAGATACTTCATCTGTAATTCTGTTCATTTTTTGAAAGCATTGTTTACAAAGAATGTATTTCTAATTTATATAATTCCCTCAAAATGGCAGTATTGTTCAAGGAAATTCCTATGTCCAATATATCCACAGGATCCATAAGAAGTCATGAACTTATTTTGTAAAAGGCTAGCTAATAAATATTTGGGCCCTTGCAGGCCGGATGGTTTCTGTTGCAACTACTCAACGGTACCATTGTTGCTCAGCAGTAGCCAAAGACAGGATTAACCAAATGAAAACAAAGTTGTCTTCCCTGAAACTTAATTTAAATTTACAAATGAGCGGTGGCCCAGATTTGGCTATGGGTTGTAGTTGACACAGACACCTGATATAAATGGTTGTACATAGAAAATAGGGTTTGGTTGGTTGGTTTGTTTCTGCTAAAGATTATTTTAATCTAGTTAGACCATAAGATGGGTGTAGCCATGAATACAAATAAGACAATTGGGAGGAAAATAAAGGAAAATAAACCTTTCATAAAGGCAGGTATACTTTAAAATATTTTTCTAAGTTATAATTAGAAAAGTGTACTTAAAAAGTATTGAATTAAATATTCAAGACCATTAAGGGGATATCTAACAGCATGAAGAAACAACAGGAAATGCTTAGTCAGCTTTGATACTATATAAAGGCAACAGTGAGTGATGAACTTGTAAAAATATTCCTTTGATTATAAGATCCCTGATTATAACATGGCATTGGAGTGTGTGGTCCTTTCCCCCTCCTCACCTCACAGCTCCTATGGAGGTAGGAGCTTCTTGAGAGGATTTTTGTTCAGTAGTCAGAAGCAGCAGAGCTTTACCTCCCCCGACCCCATGAGTTTATGTCGTTAGTATAGTCTCATTTGTTCTCATTACTTCTTGGAAAATAATTTAATGCTGTTAAAATGCAGTAATTTTTAAAAATCTCAGTACCTTCTTCATAATATAGTGGACTAGGTTTAGTCATTCATCTGAGAAATTTAAATCGAAATTGCATTAATATAGGATGACAAGCATAATCATAGCATAAATATGTCTAAAAGCTCATTGAACTATACCCATTTTCTCTTCATGAAATAATTTTTGAAATGCTATTTCTTATTTTGGAGGAGTATATAGTAACAAATATTTTAAGTGGGTGAAAAATGCTGAATCATTTTGACTAAGTAGGATTTTGACAATTTCCCAGAGGAATTGAAAAAAACGAGGCAATTTTATAATGGAATTGAAAAATTCTTGTGGGCCATTTTAAAACTAAAAATTCATAACAGATTGAGTATGATTTTGGTTTATTATTGTTCATGTAGTGGTAAACTTAGGAAAATGTCACTGTAAATAGAGTACTGAAAGTCTGTATTTCTGGTTTAAAATGTGACTTTATTAGCATTCATAAGAAATAATTTAAAAGCAATTTAAAAAGTGATTACTGTACTTTTTTCCCCTTGAATTCTTAATTCAGTTTTGATCAGCTTATCACAGTAAAATTGTTAAATTTTGTGCCTTAAGGTCACATAGTACTTGAATTAATATGTACACATAGACATTCTGTTTTTGCTGTTTAAAGTTATTTCTGTGATCCCGACACATCACTGCTTTTTCATTTATGTGTTTGAATGACTTGTCTTTTTATGTCTATAAAGTATCCATTAGAATTTGGGTAAAAGCTCCACAATAAGTGATCAGTAGGAAAAACTATCTAAAAATTACTAATTTGTAATGGAATTATGTAGATCTCCCACTCTCCGAGCAGTTAATAACTAAAATATTTTTGTGTAGAACTTGATTGGCTCTCCAAAAAATATTTGAACATTAGTGACACAATAAAAACTGAGTACTTTATGGCCAAGAGATTTGGTCTGTAAGTATTGTTTTTGTTTACTGACTCCTATGTGATTGACTTTCATTTAATTTGATATAGTTTTGTCCTTTTGCTAAGGAAAAATTGCCTATTTATGGCCTTTCTACTGAAAAACATACTAACATAAATAAATGAAAAATGCCTAATAACATAGCTTTGAATCATAAACGAAAATGGTATGCAGTTGTTCCTCACTTTTCACAGCTTCCGTATTTGTAAATTCTGGCTAAAATTTATAACCTCAGTTAAATCATTAAAATTTTAAGTGTCATTGTGAAAGATTTTATTTTTTTTATTGTTTGGTTATATTGTCTTTTATATTGCTTGATGGCAGAAATTTTTTCACTACTGTTTAGTAAAATTCTTTTCTATGATAAGACATGTTGAAAAAAGCAGATTCTTAATCTTTTAATAGCAGATTTGGGGAACATGAAAAGGATTAATTCATTATTTTTATGCACTTTAAATATTTCAGGTGGACATTTTAATAATAGACTAGTCCATGTGTAGAATTTTATGGTACTATATGCAGTTATGATTAACTTGAAAATTTTTCCATTATAGACTTCACTTTTGCAGAGATTGACTTTGCCTCAGCTTCAGCAAGCTCATCATCTAATATTGGTGCGTGTGTATTATATGTTTACAAGTCACTGGGAGTTAAGCACAGCACATACAAGCTGGGAAGCCAAATAAGGAAATGTATTCCTTCTCTTGACAGTTTTAATTTAACTTGTAAGTTAAATTCCGTGTTAGCTTAAAATGGCTTAAATTGTTAATTACAGAACATAGTTTAAATAGAATTGCTAATCGTAATAGTAAATGATTGAACATATTTCAGTGTATCATCTAACATTCAATATAGGTTAGTTGCATTTTGGTTCTACCACAGAACATTTGAAAAGCTCCACTGTGTGGCGGTAAAGTTACTGTGGTCACTTTAAATGAACATGGCAGAAGTTATTAACTTGCATCTACATGTGACTAAAACTTTGACTTGTCTGGCATACATTTGTGTTATAAAGGTGAGTGTGTTTCCCAAAACAGGAATTTGACCAGTGTGAGGCATTGCAGAGCTGCTTTGGATGCCAGAATAATTTTTTCCTCTTATCATTGGTAACATTCTTGAGTTTTTTTGCTATCACTTTGGAGTCTGGAATTTTAATTAAGTGTCTCCACTGATGATGTTTATAGGACAGAGACCTAAGTGGTGGTTCCATGCAGATAAGGTTATAGATATGTAACCTTTGACCTTGTTGCTGATCATCACTTTTTCTTAACTATTTGCATATTATGCCTTTCATTTTAGCTTTTTGTTAAGGTCTTCAATGTGAAAAATATGTAAGAATGATTCTTAACAGTAAGCATAGGAAAGGCATATAAAGAAAATGTCATCCCTTAGCCCTATAGTTTGGAAAGTTATTGAAGCATTTCATAAGCAAATTTTTTTTTTTGGTTTCCTGTTGTGAATAGTATGTCTTAAGAAATGTATGAGTAACATAGTCTACCAACATGTTCATATAACTGAAGAGACGTTAAATATGAAGAATATTAATTAGCACTTGTGAACTGCAAGGAAATAGAATTCTAACTCCAAATAATCATATGTGTTATAAACCACAAAACAATTTTCACTACAGTAAAATACTAATTTGATTTGGTATGTATTTTTAAAAAGCATCTATTATACAGCATTTTTGAATAAAGTTTCTTTTGCTCAATAGTAATAAATTATTAAAATTTTGATTCAATGGCTTGAAATTTGAAAGGATTTTTTAAAATACAATATGCATGATATTGGAATTTGGGTTCAAATACTTGGGTTAAATGTGCCATAAACATGGAAGATTCTAAAATAGTTTATGTACCATGGGCATGGTTATATTCACTCCTGTCAGGATTTTAAGTCTGTTGAAATTAGTAACCAAATGTTTTCTTGTTTGTTTTTATGTTTTGAAAAAGGCTAAAGCCAGTTTTTAGGTTGGCTTGAGCAGAAAAGTGAAAAGAGAATGCTCCACTTTAACCGATGTCAGCATCTGAAACGAATAACCCAGAAATGTTTTTCTATTATACATGTTAAAACGGATAAATGTGCGCAGCTATTTCTTTCAAGAACCTTTGTACTTGCAGAATTAAGGAAGTCATGGCACTCAACCCACTCTCTCGTTGGAGACAAAAATATTATCCTGATGGGACCGCCTGGAGCTGGGAAAACAACAGTAGGCAGAATAATAGGTCAGAAGCTAGGTTGTTGTGTCATAGATGTGGATGATGATATCCTTGAAAAAACCTGGAATATGAGTGTGTCTGAAAAATTACAGGATGTTGGTAATGAACAATTTTTAGAAGAGGAAGGAAAAGCTGTGTTAAACTTCTCTGCATCTGGAAGTGTAATTTCCCTTACTGGGTCCAATCCAATGCATGATGCTAGCATGTGGCATCTGAAGAAAAATGGAATAATTGTGTACTTGGATGTACCTCTAACAGATATAGTTAGCCGTCTAAAATTAATGAAAATAGATAGGATTGTAGGTCAGAATTCTGGGACATCTATGATAGAGTTACTTAAATTAAGAAGACAGTATTGTAAGAAGTGGTACGATACCCGTGTTTTTTGTGAAAGTGGGGCTTCCCCAGAGGAGGTAGCTGACAAAGTGCTTAATGCAGTTAAAAGATACCAAGATGTGGACTCAGAAACATTCATTTCAACAAGACACATTTGGCCTAAAGACTGTGAACACAAGATTTCAACGAAATTCTTTAGCGAAGCTGTGATTGAGGGATTAGCTTCTGATGGTGGACTCTTTGTTCCCGAGAAGGAATTTCCAAAATTAAACTCTGGGGAGTGGAAAAACCTAGTAAGAGCAACCTACATAGAAAGAGCACAAATACTGTTAGAAAAGTGTATACACCCTGCTGACATACCTGCTGCCAAATTGGGAGAAATGATTGAAATTGCTTATGGGGAAAACTTTACCTGCTCAAAAATTGCCCCTGTCAGGCACCTTTCTGGCAACCAGTTCATCTTGGAGTTGTTTTATGGACCAACAGGATCATTTAAAGATTTATCTTTACAGCTTATGCCTCATCTTTTTGCATACTGTATTCCACCAAGTTGCAATTATATGATACTTGTAGCCACTTCAGGAGACACAGGGAGTGCTGTCTTAAATGGTTTTAGTCATCTTAATGAGAATGACAAGCAAAGAATAGCTGTGGCCACATTTTTTCCTGAGAACGGAGTAAGTGATTTTCAAAAAGCACAAATAATTGGTAGCCAGAAAGAAAATGGATGGGCAGTAGGTGTCAAGTCAGATTTTGATTTTTGCCAGACAGCTATAAAAGAAATTTTTAAAGATTCTGATTTTACTGGCTTTCTTACTGTGGAATATGGAACAATCTTAAGTTCAGCTAATTCCATAAACTGGGGCCGACTGCTTCCCCAAGTAGTTTATCATGCTTCTGCATATCTTGATCTTGTTAGTCAAGGCTTTATTTCTTTTGGAAGCCCAGTGGATGTCTGTATTCCCACAGGAAATTTTGGTAACATTTTAGCCGCAGTGTATGCCAAAATGATGGGAATTCCTATTCGGAAATTTATTTGTGCTTCTAATCAGAACCACGTTTTGACTGATTTTATAAAAACAGGACGTTATGATCTAAGGGAAAGAAAATTAGCGCAGACCTTTTCACCAGCAATAGATATTCTCAAATCTTCAAACCTGGAACGACACTTATATTTGATGGCTAATAAAGATGGACAATTAATGACAAAGTTATTTAATCAATTAGAAGAGCAGCATCACTTCCAGATAGAAAAGATTCTAGTTGAGAAACTTCAGCAGGATTTTGTAGCTGACTGGTGCTCTGAGGGAGAGTGTCTAGCAGCTATTCACTCCACCTACAATACTTCAGGATATATTTTGGATCCACACACTGCTGTTGCAAAAGTGGTTGCAGACAGATTGCAGGACAAAACTTGCCCAGTGATCATCTCATCTACAGCTCATTACTCAAAGTTTGCACCTGCTATCATGCAGGCTTTAAAGATTCAAGAAATCAACCAAACATCATCAAGTCAGCTTTATTTATTGAGTTCATACAATGCATTACCTCCACCACATGAGACTTTATTAGAGAGAACAAAACAGCAAGAGAAGATGGAGTACCAGGTCTGTGCAGCTGATGTGAATGTCCTAAAGAATCATGTGGAAAAACTAATACAAAATCAATTCATATAAAAGTTTTCTGAGTAAAATATTTTTTCTGGTAATTAGCATGCAATAATAAATCACAGAAGTTGATTTGGAGTACAATAGCATTTTTAATTTAAATATGTCTATATTATTATATTTTGGAATTTCAGTAACTTAATCTCTAGAACTGAACTTTGTACTTGCACATGCTCCTTGGATCATTAATCTTGAAGTGACAAAAAGGTAGCATAGTGCATGGACCCTTGTGCTGTTGTGCTGTGCTTTGTACTCATGAGGGATATATCGGTTTCCACTTTCTTACCCCCACTTTTAGGTGGAGCAAAATGTCTGGTATTTAACTTGGCAATTAAAATACTTAAGCACAGTTGCTAACTACTACATCTGTAATCATTACTGGTTCTCTGTTGATGAGAAAGATAATTTACCACTCAAATGGCTAACTTGTATGGATGAAGTAGTAAGCTCATCTATTAAAATCAAGCCAGTGTTTTTAATTCTACTTAGAATCCATTTGGGCTACAAATAATTACGTGTATACTACACCATCCAAATTAGATAAGTGCTCTGTCCTTCACTCCCATTTGGATGTTTATAGTTGGAGTGATGTAGTTTGAAAATCAAGATTCAGAAATAAAATTACCTATTTAAAGAGAACAATTTTTCAAAATTCAATGTATTTGAATTTTAATGGAAGTGTGTTTATAGGTAGCAGCTTCTCTATATTATTTTCTCTTTACAATGAACATTGTCTTTTTTTGACAACTAAAACCATACACAACTGATGCATATATTTAATGCTTCATAGTATCAATACATTTTAACAATACATTTGTGAATTTACTGGATGTTTTACTTCTGAATTAAAGATTGTCGCTGAGCCCTGGCCGAGTAGCTCAGCTGGTTAAGAGTGCTGTCCAGATATGCCAAGGTTGTGGGTTTGATCCCTGGCCAGGACACATACCAGTATCAACCAATGAATTCATAAATAAGTGGAACAAATCAATCTCTCATCAATAAATAAAAATTTAAAAAAACAAGATTGTCATTGAAAGGACTTAATAGTGTAATGGACTACTCTCAACCACAAGATGGCATTCCTAACATGATTTGTCATTGCTGATAACATTTTATCTCATTTTCCGGGGGAACTACCTCCATGAAAAAAATATATTAAAAGTTATTTTAAAAATCAATAGCTTAATGAACATGAATACTTTGTTTAAAAAATTTAAAAATGCAAACCAATTATATATTAACCTTGGCTCCCTGGCTTAACTTCTAAAAAGTAAGCTCTAAAACCAAAAATTGAAAACCAGGAGCAGTTGTAAGAAAACAGAGGTTTCAAAGTTCATTCGTAGTTATTTTATCGTTTGCTTTTAAGGATATTTGTTTCAGTAGATGACATAAAATACATCTAAATGTTTGCTGTGTGTATGAGAATACATTTTTTTCTGAGAGGGAGGGACAGTTTAACAAGAGAGAGTTTCTGCCAAGAACTGTAGTTAAGGAGACAACACATAAGAAATCATGAACAACATGAAACAGTTTCTGCAAGACAGTCCATGAGTAAGTGAAACATGAGTGATACAGTCAAGTGTTGTAAGATTTAAGGAAAGATTACCATGAGATAATGAGTTCAGAGGAAAGAACATGAGGTCAGTCTTGAGGCATGCGAAGTCTTTCTGAGAGAAAAGAAAGAGGAAATACATTCTAGACAGAGACCAGGGAAATAGCTAAGGTGAAATGGCTTAAGAAAGCACCTGTATTTATCCTTGTTAATTTTGTTCTCTCACATACTTAAAACCAGCTCTGGTCCTTCCCTCTCTGCTAATGATCTTTCCTCATTCAAGAGAAGGAACAAACCATCAGATGTAACATATCTTGGTTTCCCATCACCAAATGTAAAAAAATCTGCTGCAGCTGTTTGTATTCTTTCCTACTCCACTTTGAAATTCCACTTTGAATTCCTTCTCCTTTCAGAGGCAGACCTTTTCACGCATGTCTTGGACTCTGTCCTTCGTAATACTCAAGTAACGTGTTTCATCAGTTGTCTTTCCTGTTTCTTCAACTTTTCCCCTCTAATGGAACCTTTTTTCCTATGCCATTCAGATGCCCTCTTCTCCCATCAGAAAAAGCATAAAATTTTCCCCATCTACAAAAAGCCTCTTCAAAAAGTTGCCCGCATACATGTGTCTATTCTCATTTTCTCCAGAGTGTGTACAAAGTGTATGTTTAAGGATGAATAATAAATACATATGTAGTCACTGCTTCTCTTTTAGCCTAGAACATTATAACTTCGATACCCACTGCAGCTCTTCTTCTATTATGTTCTCTGGTCTCCCCTAGAGGTACCACTATCCTAGATTTTCTGTTCATCATTCCCTTGTTTGTATTTATAGTTTTGCCTCTTTTTGAATTTTACATAAATAGAATCATTTTATGTGTGCTTCTTTCACCTCCTATTGCTGAACAACTGTAAAATTCATGCAGATGAGTGAAGCCACAGTTCATTAATTTTTATTACTATATAATTTATTGTGTGAATAGGACAATCTATGTACTTACCAATTAATGAATATTTAGATTGTCTAATTTTCATCTGTTCTTATATCCAATATGTATACTATTTTGTAAAATTTGTGTTGAAGCGTAATGAATATAGGCTTCCAAACATTTGTGATTCTAATGATACATAAAAATGGATTTCATATTTTGGCATTCTTAAGATAAAAATTTAATGGTTTATGAAGATCAATTTACAGGATATGGTTATAATTTATGGCTCTCACTCTTTGAAATTATTTTATAGTGTCATAAATATAATGAATTTGTAAGATTTTTGAAGAAATTAGTTTCTCAAATTATATATTAATGGAAATTGTAAAATATGTTTCCATTAAAATAGAGTTTTGAAGGTGGTAATTTGTATGCGTTTTTGTTAGATTTTAATAGCGATTCACTTTCAAAAAGTCATTTAGGGCAAATACTGTTTCAAATCATTAAATAATTTATAAGCATTTTATAATACAGATTAAATATTAGTAAAAAAGAAAAAGCTGTTTTCATGTGAGCCTCAACCCATAGAAACCTAAATAATACAGTTTTTGTCCCAATCTAGGAACATGAATAAAATCTATGAGAGAGTTATTTGTGTGGGCCCCATCTTTGTACTGCATAATCACAAAAATCATTAGTTTTGTCTCTCTGAAGCTTCGAAAACAAATAGCTTCCTTCGAAGTCAAAGTTAGAATAAGCTCCTCTGATTCAAAAAATCAAAGCCAAGAAAGTTGCACCTGTCCTGGGAAAGGTACCTGTCAAAGACAAGAAATCAAGCCCTACCTGGGTAGTTCAGTTGGTTGAGCATTGTCTTGATATGCCAACGTTGTGGTTTGATCCCTGGTCAGGGCACCTACAAGAATCAACAACCAGTGAATACATAAATAAGTGGAACAACAAGTTGGTGTTCCCCCCTCCCTTCTCTCTCTCAAATCAATTAAAAAAAAAAAAAAGACAAATCAAACTTCATACATTGACAGTATTTTGACTTGAAGCCTTCCATACAAATTTTGAGTTTGTTTCCTAGAGTATACTGCATTGGTCAACTTAGATACTTCTCTTTTCAAACTTTCTGATTTCTTGAGACTTCCTTCATCTAACAGGCAATATTGCCTGCCTTGAGATGTCACTACACCGAAATTATGGTGCAGATGTGACACTTTTTTCAGTAACCATCATAGACTTCATTGAGATTTTTAGTGGCCCATAAAATGCAGAGTTGCTAATGGCTGGTTAAATTTCATTTATAAATATGAAGGAGATTTATATATAATTTTAAATTACTTAATTCACAATCAATTGTTTTAAATAAATTCTCACATTTGGTGAATGAGTCCTAAAATTAGTCAATTTAATACCATATAACGAAATTAATGACATCTTTGTGAGTTTTTTTAAACAAATGCTTTATTACTGTTCCTATGAATTTGTCTCATATTAATGGAATCATAGAGTATGCCTTTTTGTGACTGGCTTATTTCACTGGCATAATGTCCTCAATTTTCCATTCATGTCGTACTGCATTTTGTTTATTCACCCCTTGATAGTCATTTTAGCTATTGTAGATAATGTTGCTATAAACTTGGGTGTACAAATATCTCCTCAAGACCCTGCTTTCAATTCTTTTGAATATATACCCAGAAGTGGAGTTACTGGATCATATAATTTTAACTTTTTGAGAAACTGCTCTACTGTTTTCCATAGCAGCTATGCCATTTTATATTCCCACAAATGGAAACTTGTGTTACTTTTAAATTGTGTTTTTAAAAATGCACAGTTATATTGAACACATATACCTAGTTTTAAAAGTCAAATAGTTTTAAAAAGCTGAGATGAATTAGTAGTACCCTGTATGCACTCCTTCTCATGCCCACTTCCCAGAGATAACTACTTTCAAGTCAACTCTTTGTTCTGGCATTTTTCCTCCTTATTTCTTAATACTTAAACTGCTAATCTGGATTTTAGCTTTATATATTATCTATTTACATTCTTCTATAAAAGATATTTATTTCTCCTACTTCCACTGTCCTGCCCCAGTACTCATTTTTTCCTTACCTTCTATGTTCTCAGACTGGATATGTTATCATTTTGGATTAGGTCAATAGTAGTGTTTTCATTATTATGACTATATCCACAGAAGAGTTACATTGTATATTAAAATTTGTGGTTTTTTAAAAAAATTTTTGGAGTTTGTATTTATTCCATTTTCTGAACCTCTTGAAGATTTCCCTTTTGGACCTGTCTGTTTTCCTATTACAATGCTAATTGGTTGGTCTCTGGGGCTGTTGCACAACTTTTAACCCTGGATCTCTAGTCACTTCCTTTCTATTCACATTGTTTCATCTTTCTCCTGAGATGGGTCAAATTTCTTTCTCTTTCTTAGTTCATTTACTAATTTTGGTAGAATCTATTCTCCAGTGTGGTTTCCTGAAATCATATGCATGGGATTTTAATTATTTGAGAAATTGCTGATCTAACAATTTATTGCATTTCAAACTAGATCGATAGTTTTTTGGGGTATAGATTTCTAGGTTAGAAGGCATTTTTACCCTCAGAATTTCAAAGCTATGGTTTCACCATCTTCTTTGTTCTATTTTTGTTTTCAGTAAGTTTACTGTTATTCTAATTCTTTTTAAAAAAAGATTTTATTTATTTTTAGAGAGGGGAAGAGATGGAGAAAGAGAGGGAAACATCAATGTGTGGTTGCATTTTGCACACCTGCTGCTGGGGACCTGGCCTGCAACCTAGGTATGTGCCCTACACTAGGAATCGAACCAGAGACCCTTTGGTTTGTAGGTTGGCACTCAATCCACTGGGCCACATCAGTTAGGGCTGTTATTCTGATTTTTAATTTTTAAAATGTAGCCCATTTTTAGAAGCTTTTAGGATATTCTCTTTATGGCCTAATATTTCATGACAATGTTGATTACTATGGGTCCTTTTGCCTATTTGTTTTGCTGTTGGAGCACTTTGGTAGGCCTTTTCAATCTAGAAATTCACATCCTTCTGATCATTTAAAAGTATATTTATTTTCTAACTTCCTACCCCTTCCTCATTGTTTCTGTTCTTTTTTTCCCTCAAACTCTTATTTGGGAGATGTTGGAAATCCTGAAGTTATAATTTCTAATGTGGTGTGGAAGGTTGACCATAAAGACAGTGCCCAACAATCCCTCCCAAACCTTTATTCACATGCTGAGCCTCGCATTGACAGGTGAGGTCTATTATCTTTCTCATTGAATCTAGGTTGGTCTTGTGACTTGCTTTACCAATAGAATGGCAGAAGTGATATTTGAGACATCCAGGCCCAGGCCATAACAGGACTGGACACTTCCATTTCCTTCTTTTTCTTCTGTAAAGAGGCTTGGAGTAGAATATTCAATAGTGACAAGTGATGTGGAGAGAGGCCTTGGAGAGTGAGAGGGCGTATTGCACTGCAGAGTTCCTGGTAGTTCTCAGTCAGAATGCAGCTATGTGCTGCCTTAAGCAAAAGAGGAGAAGACCTGCTATACTGAGCTGATTCAACCAACAAATTTATGAAAAATAATACATTATTTTAATGCACTAAGTTTGGGGGTGATTTTTTATGGAATAGTAAATAATACATCCTATAATTGTCTAATATCTTCTTTCTCATTTTCCATTTCTTTTCTATTGTTTGAATTCATTCATACATTCTTTTTTAGGAGGATTCCACTTTCTGGTTTTATTTTTCTTTTAACTTTTCTATTAAAAGTTTAATTTACATTATCATGCTTTTTTTTTTGGTCCTCTAAAAATATTAATAGCTTCCTATTCTTGTTTCAAGGTTATAAACATCTTTTATACTATTAAGGAATTTAATTATGGTTTAAAAAATCTTTTGAAACCTTTCTTTGTTTCTCCTGAAGTCTACTTTTTGATTCATTGTTTTAATTTCTGTCTTATCTATTGATACATTTGTGTGTGTGTTTCCTTCTCTTTATTTTTACTCTTTATGCTATTAGAGTTGTCCCCACTTTTTTCCCCTTTGTTCACCCATCCTCCCCACCCACCTCCCATCTGGCAATCATCAAAATGTTCTATCTGAGTCTGTTTCTGTTTTGCTTATTAGTTTATCTTTTAGATTTAATTGTTGATAGATATATATTTATTATCATTTTATTGTTCATATTTTAAATCCTTTTTCTCTTCTTATTTTTTTTTAAATCATGTTTATTCTATTACAGTTGTCTCAATTTTTCCCCCTTTGCCTTCCTCCACCCATCCCATCCCTGGCCCCATTCCTACAGTCAATTCCTACAGTTGCCCATGTCCATGGGTAATTCATTCATATTCTTTGTCTAGTCCTTCCTCTTCTTTCCACCATTGTCCGCCTTCCCCATCCCCTCTGATCACTCTCAGTCTGCTCCATGTTTCCATGCCTGTGGTTTCTTTTATTCGTTAGTTTATTTTGTTGAATAGAGTCCACTTATATGTGAGATCATATGGTATTTGTCTTTCACCGACTGGCTTATTTCACTTAGCATAATATTCTCCAGTTCCATCCATGTTGTCAAAAAAGGTAGGAGTTTCTTTCTTTCTTTCTCTTCCTTCCTTCCTTCCTTTCTCTTTTTTTATAAAATGCAGATTGATTTTATTTATTTTTTAAATGTCAAAATCCATTATAAAATATTAAAAAATTTAAATCCACTATGAAGTCTCAGCAATTAAACCAACATGACACCAGCAAGAAATAAGTAGATCAATGAAATAAAATGAGCATTCTAGAAACAAATGTATATATCTAACAATGTAATATATGATTAAATTGATATTTCAAATCCATGGGGAAAATAAGACTTATTCAACCTATAAGGTACATGGACCACTATTACATGAAATGAAACAAATATAGAGCCCTATTTCACATATTATACACAAAATATTCAGGTGAGTTAAAAATCAATATGTAAAATCTAAGGAGTTTTAGGAGAAAATATAAAATATTTTTCTTACCCTGAAGTAAAATATTCAAACCCAGAAGCTATAAAGTAAAATATTGACAATATGACTATATTAAACATTTAAGACTATCTAGTAATATACATATAAAAAAAGTTAAAG